CTGACCCGTCTCCTGGTTCTGACCCGTCTCCTGGTTCTGACCCGTCTCCTGCTTCTAACCCGTCTCCTGCTTCTGACCCGTCTCCTGGTTCTGACCCGTCTCCTGCTTCTAACCCGTCTCCTGCTTCTAACCCGTCTCCTGGTTCTAACCCGTCTCCTGGTTCTGACCCGTCTCCTGCTTCTAACCCGTCTCCTGGTTCTGACCCGTCTCCTGCTTCTAACCCGTCTCCTGGTTCTGACCCGTCTCCTGCTTCTAACCCGTCTCCTGGTTCTGACCCGTCTCCTGCTTCTAACCCGTCTCCTGGTTCTAACCCGTCTCCTGGTTCTGACCCGTCTCCTGCTTCTAACCCGTCTCCTGGTTCTAACCCGTCTCCTGCTTCTGACCCGTCTCCTGGTTCTGACCCGTCTCCTGCTTCTGATCCGTCTCCTGCTTCTGACCCGTCTCCTGGTTCTGACCCGTCTCCTGCTTCTGACCCGTCTCCTGGTTCTGACCCGTCTCCTGGTTCTGACCCGTCTCCTGCTTCTAACCCGTCTCCTGCTTCTAACCCGTCTCCTGGTTCTGACCCGTCTCCTGCTTCTGACCCGTCTCCTGGTTCTGACCCGTCTCCTGCTTCTAACCCGTCTCCTGCTTCTAACCCGTCTCCTGGTTCTGACCCGTCTCCTGCTTCTGACCCGTCTCCTGCTTCTGACCCGTCTCCTGGTTCTGACCCGTCTCCTGCTTCTGACCCGTCTCCTGCTTCTAACCCGTCTCCTGCTTCTGACCCGTCTCCTGCTTCTGACCCGTCTCCTGCTTCTAACCCGTCTCCTGCTTCTAACCCGTCTCCTGGTTCTGACCCGTCTCCTGCTTCTGACCCGTCTCCTGGTTCTAACCCGTCTCCTGCTTCTGACCCGTCTCCTGGTTCTGACCCGTCTCCTGCTTCTGACCCGTCTCCTGCTTCTAACCCGTCTCCTGCTTCTGACCCATCTCCTGGTTCTGACCCGTCTCCTGCTTCTGACCCGTCTCCTGCTTCTGACCCGTCTCCTGCTTCTGATCCGTCTCCTGGTTCTGACCCGTCTCCTGCTTCTAACCCGTCTCCTGGTTCTGACCCGTCTCCTGCTTCTAACCCGTCTCCTGGTTCTGACCCGTCTCCTGCTTCTAACCCGTCTCCTGGTTCTAACCCGTCTCCTGCTTCTGACCCGTCTCCTGCTTCTGACCCGTCTCCTGCTTCTGACCCGTGTCCTGGTTTTAACCCGTCTCCTGCTTCTGACCCGTCTCCTGCTTCTGACCCGCCTCCTGGTTCTGACCCGTCTCCTGCTTCTAACCCGTCTCCTGCTTCTAACCCGTCTCCTGGTTCTGATCCGTCTCCTGCTTCTAACCCGTCTCCTGGTTCTAACCCGTCTCCTGGTTCTGACCCGTCTCCTGCTTCTGACCCGTCTCCTGCTTCTAACCCGTCTCCTGCTTCTAACCCGTCTCCTGCTTCTGACCCGTCTCCTGGTTCTGACCCGTCTCCTGCTTCTGACCCGTCTCCTGCTTCTAACCCGTCTCCTAGTTCTGACCCGTCTCCTGGTTCTGACCCGTCTCCTGCTTCTAACCCGTCTCCTGGTTCTAACCCGTCTCCTGGTTCTGACCCGTCTCCTGCTTCTGACCCGTCTCCTGCTTCTGACCCGTCTCCTGCTTCTAACCCGTCTCCTGCTTCTAACCCGTCTCCTGGTTCTAACCCGTCTCCTGCTTCTGACCCGTCTCCTGCTTCTAACCCGTCTCCTGCTTTTGACCCGTCTCCTGCTTCTAACCCGTCTCCTGCTTCTAACCCGTCTCCTGCTTCTAACCCGTCTCCTGCTTCTAACCCGTCTCCTGCTTCTGACCCGTCTCCTGGTTCTGACCGGTCTTCTGGTTCTGACCCGTCTCCTGGTTCTGACCCGTCTCCTGCTTCTGACCCGTCTCCTGCTTTTGACCCGTCTCCTGCTTCTAACCCGTCTCCTGCTTCTAACCCGTCTCCTGCTTCTAACCCGTCTCCTGCTTCTGACCCGTCTCCTGCTTCTAACCCGTCTCCTGGTTCTGACCCGTCTCCTGCTTCTGACCCGTCTCCTGCTTCTAACCCGTCTCCTGCTTCTAACCCGTCTCCTGCTTCTAACCCGTCTCCTGCTTCTAACCCGTCTCCTGCTTCTGACCCGTCTCCTGGTTCTGACCGGTCTTCTGGTTCTGACCCGTCTCCTGCTTCTGACCCGTCTCCTCCTTCTAACCCGTCTCCTGCTTCTAACCCGTCTCCTGCTTCTGACCCGTCTCCTGCTTCTAACCTGCCTCCTCCTGGTTCTAGACCCCAGACCCGACTCCTGCTTCTAAACCCGTCTCCCTGTTCTAACCCTCTTCCTGGTTCCCAGACCCGTCTCACCCCCTGCTTCTAAACCCCACTCCTGGTTCAACCCGTCTCCTGCTCTCTGACCCGTTCCACCTAGTTCCTGACCCCGTCTCCTGCTTCTGATCCGTCTTCTCCTGCTTCTGACCCGTCCTCTCCAGCGGTTCTCTGATGACACCGCGCGTGAGCTCGCACTGATCTGTCGAGTGCGCGCTACGTGGGCGCGGGGAGTGTGGGGGGAGTGGATCTCTCTGATTGTGACTTCCGTCTCCTGTGTTCTGACCCGTCTCCTGCTTCGTAACCCCGTCTCCCTGCTTCTAACACAATTACTCCCTGGTTCTGACCCGCTCCTGCTTTCTGACCCGTCTCCATTTGGTTCTGACCCGTCCTCCTGCTTCTAACCCCGTCCTGCCTGCTTCTAACCCGCTCCTGGTTCTGACCCCGTCTCCTGCTTCTGATCCCGTCTCCTGCTTCTGACCCGGGAGGCGAGCCGAGGTTGGGGAGAGCTGGGACGGGGGCGGGGGGCGTCGGGTGCTGCGTGGGTCTCGGGGGGGACGGGGGGGGGGGGAGGGCCGTCGCCGGCTTCTAACGGGTCCCACTCCTCCTGGCTTCTGACGACTCTCCTGCTGGTCTGGACCGTCTCCGGTGCTTTCTAACGGGGGGGGTCCGGACTCGCGTGCTTCTATGGGGAGACGGAGGGGGCCGTCTCCGTAGGTTTCTGGGACGGCCGTCGTCGCATGCTGTCTGACGGGGGCCGTGCTTTCCTGGTTCTAGGGTGGGGGGGGGGGGGACGGCAACGGGGGGTGCTGCCTGCTTGGTTGGGGCTTGACGCGCGGTCGTCGCTGGGGTTCTGACGGGGGACTCTCGGCGGACGATATTCTGGACGGAAGTACTCAGCGGTGCTGGGTCTAACGGTCCGGGGGGGGGGGTCTCGGGCTGCTTCTGCACGGGGGGCCATGCTCTGGCTTGGTTCTGGGACGGGGCGGGCGTGAGGCTCGGCTGCGTGTCTGGACCGCGGGGGGTCTCCTGATTCTGATGGGGGGATGGGACGTGATCCTGTGTATGGAAGAGGGGGCGCGGTCGTCACGTGCGGGTCTAACTGGGGGGGGGGGGGGTGGGGGGGCGCGGCGTCCCCGGTGGTTATGACCGGGACCGTTCTACGCTGCTTCTAGGGGGGGACGGCGCTGTGCTCGGGCGTGGTTCTGGGGGGGGGTGGTAACGTATCCGGCTTCTCAGAAAGCGACACAGGTCTACTGGGTTATAAGGCCCTCTGACTGAGTAAGGGAGCGGGGCAGGCGTCTCGGGCTAGGGCTTCTGTCTACACATCTAAGGAGTCTGGGGAGCGGGGCGGGGGCGGTGTGCGGGGCTGTTTTAGGGAAGAGCGCGAAGTATAATGGCTTATGACAAAGTATATATGATCTGCGTGAAACTGACGAAGGTTTCTCTAAAACAGTAGAGAGTGATTATTGAAACAGGTATACATGCTTTATAGGTAGGAAGGTGATGAATGGGGGATTGATGAAGTCGGAATGGCGGGGTTGGGCGCGGGTAGAAGGGGGGGGGGGGCCGTCCCTGGTTATAAAAATCTCATGTTCGGGGAACAGTCATCACTCTTATATTATGTAAAAGTAATAAGGATTACTATCCCGTCTCCTGCCTTCTAACCCGTCCCAGCTCTGACACCGGCTCCTAGTTCTAGAACCGTCTCCTGCTTCTGAACCGCTCCTGCTATCAACCCGTCCTAACCTAGTTCTGACTCTCCGTCTCTCCATGGTTCTGACCCGTCTCCTGCTTCTGACCCGTCTCCTGCTTCTAACCCGTCTCCTGGTTCTGACCCGTCTCCTGCTTCTGACCCGTCTCCTGCTTCTGACCCGTCTCCTGCTTCTAACCCGTCTCCTGCTTCTGACCCGTCTCCTGCTTCTAACCCGTCTCCTGGTTCTAACCCGTCTCCTGCTTCTGACCCGTCTCCTGGTTCTGACCCGTCTCCTGGTTCTGACCCGTCTCCTGCTTCTAACCCGTCTCCTGCTTCTGACCCGTCTCCTGCTTCTAACCCGTCTCCTGCTTCTAACCCGTCTCCTGCTTCTGACCCGTCTCCTGCTTCTAACCCGTCTCCTGCTTCTGACCCGTCTCCTGCTTCTAACCCGTCTCCTGCTTCTAACCCGTCTCCTGCTTCTAACCCGTCTCCTGCTTCTAACCCGTCTCCTGCTTCTGACCCGTCTCCTGGTTCTGACCCGTCTCCTGGTTCTGACCCGTCTCCTGGTTCTGACCCGTCTCCTGCTTCTGACCCGTCTCCTGCTTCTGACCCGTCTCCTGCTTCTAACCCGTCTCCTGCTTCTAACCCGTCTCCTGCTTCTAACCCGTCTCCTGCTTCTAACCCGTCTCCTGCTTCTGACCCGTCTCCTGCTTCTAACCCGTCTCCTGGTTCTGACCCGTCTCCTGCTTCTGACCCGTCTCCTGCTTCTAACCCGTCTCCTGCTTCTAACCCGTCTCCTGCTTCTGACCCGTCTCCTGCTTCTGACCCGTCTCCTGCTTCTGACCCGTCTCCTGCTTCTAACCCGTCTCCTGCTTCTAACCCGTCTCCTGCTTCTAACCCGTCTCCTGCTTCTAACCCGTCTCCTGCTTCTGACCCGTCTCCTGGTTCTGACCCGTCTCCTGGTTCTGCTTGCAGCTGCAGAGATCGACCATGTGAGCAGCTTGTTTCAGGAGAAGCAGGCAGAGCTTCAGTCTGCGGTGATCAGAGTGGACCAGGTGGGATGAAAGGTTCTAGAAGAACTGCACCGAAGGTGCCTTTGACTCTTAGAAAGAGGATTTAGGCTTAGATCAGGGGTGGACATCTCCAGTCCTGGAGGGCCCTTATCCTGCAACTATTAGACATGACCTTAAAACACCTGAATCAAATAGATCATTAGAATTAGACTCTTTTGATTCAGGTGTGTTGGACCAAGGATGAATCTAAATGTTGCAGGAAACTGATCCTCAGGGACTGGAGTTGCCACCCCTGGCTTAGATGATACCAACCCAGGCCAGATGCTGTGTCTCTGTCCAGGAAGGAGACACAGCTAAACAGAAACTAAGCAGCTCAGTAAACCAGGATGTCTTTCCAGCCAGTGAGACTGTAGACCACACTAAGCTTCTCCAGATGATCGTTCTAAGGTCTCCTTCTCTATACGCTAGCTAACTCAGCAGTTGGAGGACCTGAGGAGGGGACGCCTTCAGCTGCAGTCCGATGCACAGAGGGAGGGAACCCCGACTGGTTCCCCGGGTGGAACCACGGGTCACAGAGGCTCAGCTCTGTCCGGCCCTGCAGCCGTGGAGCTGAGGAAACTCTATCAGGAGCTGCAGGTAAACCCAGGCTGGTTTAAAACATCTAACCACCTTGAAAAGGCTCTGCTCAGGTTAAACTCTGCTTTCTGTTTCTTCTTCAGGCTCGGAATCATCAGAATCTGGAACAGAGCAGCAAACTGGCCCAAAACAAGGAGCTGTTGAACAAGAGGAACGTCCAGGTGACGGTAATGGACCAGCGAATCGGAGATCTCAGGGAGCGGCTTCATAAGAAGAGGGCAGAGGTAAACTTCTGGGTTCTTTCCCGGTTCTGATGCTCCGTCTTCAAGCTAAAGTCTGAACGTTCGTCCTGTCCAGCTGTGCCGTTTGAATGGCGCCGGCTCCACCTCTCCTCAGGCCGCCCCACATCCCGGCGGTGGCGTGTCTGGCCGAGTGGCCGCCGTCTGTCCTTACGTCCAGACACCAGCCGAAGGGAGGCAGGACCCTGGATACCCCGCGGCCGCTGACCCGCCCCCCAAACCTGCACCGCTCAACCACATCCGCTCCCTCACAGGTTTATAGATCCTTTCCTTTCTGTTGGACATGAGACCACCAGAGGATGGTCCTCCTGGGCTCTCATCGTCTTCCTGTCTAGTGGTTCCTGTTCCTCCTCTCTGTTCTCGATGCGCTCTCATTTTTTCATGGTGGTTCCTGCTGTGACTCATCATCAGGATGTGCCCGTTGCTCTGGTTGCTGGTCTTGTCCTTTGTGTACGCACAGAGGAGGACAAGATCTGCATCTCCAGGCCTCTGGGTCAGAGCAAGGTGTTGCACTCAGACACCATCCTGTCCGAGGGGCAAAGCTGACTGACTCTAACATTGTTTATGAACACGCCCCCTACTGGCTGTTTGTTAGATCAACAGATAAAAGAGTGAATTTGGCTCCAATCAAATTGAGAATAAATTAGAGTTTACTAACAACAATCATTCAGCTACAAGTTAAACAGATTTCAGTTAAAAACTCTTGATTAGTTCAATTCTATCCAGTTTATTTCTATAGCTCCAATTCCCATCATGTCATCTCAGGTCACTTTCCAGTTCACCAGATCATCCAGTCAGATTGATTCAAAGTTTTCTATTTAAGGAAAACCAGCTGATTGCATCGACTGGGATGCAATCAGCTGCCTCTTTGAACCGATTGGGGTTCAAGGAGACAGAAGCAGACATAGAAAAAGAAGCATAGATACAAAAGGCAACTGTCAACCAGCTCCACAGGCGGCCCCGTCCAGGAAACACACAGCCAGGCAGACGAGCTCCGAGCCAGCTCCCATGTCAGAGGATGAAGAGAGCACATCCAGTTAGTCACAGTCAGAAAACTGTGAGGTGATGATTAAAACTAGAGAAACTAAACTAAACTACTATGAGGGGGGTGAGGGGTCATTGATGATGTCAAATGTCTTTCATGGAGGGAAGAGGAGCCCCCATGATCCTCTCTGCTGTTCTCACCTTCTTCCAGTCTGAGGCGCTGCAGCCTCCACACCACACAGTGAGACAGCTGCTCAGAACGCTCTCTATGGGGGGGAGGATGGGAGGGGCAGGAAGTCCAAGCGCTTCTGGTCCCTTTGGACCAGTGAGGTGGTGTTTCCAGTCCAGGTGAGGGTGTCTGTGATGAATGTGGTGCTGCTGACCACCTCTACAGCTGAGCTGTTGATGAGCAGTGGAGCGTGGTTAGGCCGCTTCTTCCTGAAGTCCACCATGATCTCCTTGGTCTTCTCCACCTTCAGGATCAGGCTGTTATCTCTGCTCCACCAGCTGCTCCACCTCCTCTCTGTAGTCCAGGTCGTTGTCGTCTCTGATGAGGCCCACCGCCGTGGTGTCGTCTGCAAACTTCACCATGTGATCGGTGGTGAACCTGGAGACGCAGTCGTGCATCATCAGGGTGAACGGCAGGGGGCTCAGGACGCAGCCCTGAGGGGAGGGGCTTAGACTGATGACATCAGAGGTCCGACCCGGACTGACTGAGGTCTGTTGGTGAGGAAGTCTAGCAGCCAATAGCAGAGGGGTGTATTGAAGCCCAGTTGTTCCAGTTTGCCCATCAGATGCTGTGGGATGATGGTGCTGAAAGCTGAACTGAAGTCCAGGAACAGCATCCATCGTAGGTGTTCTTCTCCTCCAGGTGTGCCAGGCTCAGGTGGAGAGCAGCAGAGATGGCGTCCTCAGTGGAGAGGTTCCTTCGGTAGGCGAACTGGAACGGGTGGAATGTTGGCGGCAGACTGGAGACGATGTGTTCTTTAACCAGCCTTTGGAAGCACTTCATCATGATGGGAGTCAGAGCGACAGGCCGCTAATCATTGAGGGAGGCGACCTGAGGCTTCTTTAGACTGGAATAATGGAGGCAGACTGGAAGCATGCTGGCACTATGGATTGGTCCAGCCAGGTGTTAAAGATGTCTGTGAGGACACCAGCCAGCTGATCTGACCACTCCTAATACACCTGCCCAGATGTGTTATCAGGCCCTGGGGCCTTCCTTGGGTTGACTCTCCTCAGAGTTTTCCTCCCTTCTGCTACGTCCAGGTTTAGTGGCTCCTCCCCCTGGTGTGGAACAGCTTTCACTGCTGGAGGCTGTTTAGTGCCTCAAACCTTCCAAAGAAGTTGTTCAGTTCATTTAGGAAGTCAGTGTTTGCTGCTTCTACCGGGGGTGGGTGGGCGGGTAGATGGGGGGGGGTGGGTGGGCGGTTGGGGGGTGCATTGTTGTAGTCTGTGATCATCAGAATGCCTTTCCACATCCTCCTGGTGCTGCTGGCATCATATAGAGATCCTGAATCTTCTGGCTGTGTTCCTGCTTCTCTGATCTGATGACATGGTTCCAGTTGGCTCTAATGTCCTCCAGTCATAGATCCAGGTCCACTCTAGTGAACGATTCATAGATCCAGGTCCACTCTAGTGAACGATTCATAGATCCAGGTCCACTCTAGTGAACGATTCATAGATCCAGGTCCACTCTAGTGAACGATTCATAGATCCAGGTCCACTCTAGTGAACGATTCATAGATCCAGGTCCACTCTAGTGAACGAGTCATAGATCCAGGTCCACTCTAGTGAACGATTCATAGATCCAGGTCCACTCTAGTGAACGATTCATAGATCCAGGTCCACTCTAGTGAACGAGTCATAGGTCCAGGTCCACTCTAGTGAACGAGTCATAGATCCAGGTCCACTCTAGTGAACGAGTCATAGATCCAGGTCCACTCTAGTGAACGATTCATAGATCCAGGTCCACTCTAGTGAACGAGTCATAGATCCAGGTCCACTCTAGTGAACGATTCATAGATCCAGGTCCACTAGTGAACGAGTCATAGATCCAGGTCCACTCTAGTGAACGATTCATAGATCCAGGTCCACTCTAGTGAACGAGTCATAGATCCAGGTCCACTCTAGTGAACGAGTCATAGGTCCAGGTCCACTCTAGTGAACGAGTCATAGGTCCAGGTCCACTCTAGTGAACGAGTCATAGATCCAGGTCCACTCTAGTGAACGAGTCATAGGTCCAGGTCCACTCTAGTGAACGAGTCATAGATCCAGGTCCACTCTAGTGAACGAGTCATAGATCCAGGTCCACTCTAGTGAACGAGTCATAGATCCAGGTCCACTCTAGTGAACGAGTCATAGGTCCAGGTCCACTCTAGTGAACGAGTCATAGATCCAGGTCCACTCTAGTGAACGAGTCATAGATCCAGGTCCACTCTAGTGAACGAGTCATAGGTCCAGGTCCACTCTAGTGAACGAGTCATAGGTCCAGGTCCACTCTAGTGAACGAGTCATAGGTCCAGGTCCACTCTAGTGAACGAGTCATAGATCCAGGTCCACTCTAGTGAACGAGTCATAGGTCCAGGTCCACTCTAGTGAACGAGTCATAGGTCCAGGTCCACTCTAGTGAACGAGTCATAGGTCCGGGTCATTATTTTAAAAAGTGGGGGGCGGTCTGTAATGAGGCTCAGCTGATGGAGGAGGCGGACGTGTCGCCGCTGCCTCTAATCCCAGCGCTGTGGCTGCAGGCCCAGCTTCCAGCTCACGCAGAGTGTTCTGTTTACCTTCTGAGGTCAGCGGGTCAGAGTGGCGCCGGGCAACAAGTTGCTCAGCTCAGCATCCAGCAGCTAATCCGTATTAGACTGCATTGCACCAAAGCTGACCTTGCTGTGGCACTGAAGGGTTGTGTAACCTCCTTACCTGAACCGTGGCTCCTTTCACCAACGGAGGAACGAGGATCTACTGAAGGAACTACTGAAGGTAACCCTGGAGGACCTGAGTGGAGGATTTCTGATCCTGCTTGGTCCCCTGCAAGAGTAAAATAATGCAACTTATAGCACAGAGTACCCGCAGTTGTGGTCTGCCACATCATCATCATCATCTTCCTCGTCATCACCACTGATGGCCGGGTGGGCAGGAACAACAGTTCCTCTGCGTTTCAACCAGCTGAGCAAATGGCTGAAAAAAACAAAGAACAACTGTTATTATATCAGAAAGTTGATTCATATTCACCAATATTGGCTTTAGATCTATGGAAATGGGTGGAGCTTCCTATTGGATCACCTTTATACAAACGTATGTATAATAGGACATACCTCATTTACTCCATCGGTTACCTGAACCATGTTAAAAAATTCTCTAATTCCTCAATAATGTAGTTGTCATGATTTTATCTAAGGCTCGGACCCACATGCAGTGAAGCCAAACAGAGAGACACAGTTTGAACGGGTTTTATTGAAAGGTCTTTTGAGTTCCTCCGAACTCTGCTCGGCCGGGGAACTGAAAGACGAGGGGAAGACAGACTGTTAGATTCAGGCTCAGTGGGGAATTGGAGTTGTTAATCTTGAAGGAGAGGATTTGTTGCCACTCACGTTTCCAGAGAAGAAGAGGCACATAGACTCCAGTCTGTGTGTTGGTCTTCCAGGCTTTGTTTGATTCGATGGAGGGCGGAACAGGGTTTACCCAGAACTCGGACGGAGTGGAATGATGCAGCCGCTGGTTGCAACTCAGTTTTCCTTTAGTACAGTTGCATTCTGGGAAGTGGACCGAACCAGTCCTTCAGAGGTGGGAAGGAGCTGGGACATAATCCTGCAGACATCCAGTCCAATCAGCTTCTTCAACTTTCAGACAATAATCCAGCTGTTGATTGGAAACTCTGCTGTGCTGCAGCTTTTACTCATGTCAAAGCAGTGCTGTGACCTTTGACCCTTAAGCTGAGATATTGAGTGAATTTTCAGTAGAACATTCGGATGCTCCATGGGGCTGCTCCTCTTAGAATCTGTCCCCCTCGGTCTCTGAATGGGTCATGTGATCCAGAGCATGATTCCCGCCAGTCTGGGTTCCCATTAAAAACCAGTGCTAACTAAGCTAACAGCTGTTAGCTCGGACCCTCAGCTGATCAGGCATGTTTCTGCTTCTCTACTAGAGGATTTCATCCAGAAGCTGAATGTTTCCTCTTCTTTACTGGGAACAAGAATCCTAGACCTGCGGCTCCAAACTGGGCTATTACCAAAAGGTGGTGTCCTGCCAGTGGCCTGCAGGGGGCGCTGGACCTGGAAGCTGCAGGTCTAGCGCCCCCACTGGCTGAAAGTTGCACAGTGCAGCTTTAAGCTGTTTAGTTTTATGATATAATATAATGTGCAATGTGTTTCCTGTATTCAGAACCAGAAAGTTTGATCTAAAGAAAGGAATCATGGTTGGGCCACCAGGATAATCCAGGATAATCCAATGTGTCTCTGTTCTGATCTGCTCTTTAGCTTCATGTTTTGTTTTTGTCGTTTTTTTTGTCGTTGTAAGTGAGTGGTAGAAACTTCAGCAGATGTCTTGTAAGTGAAGGTCATGTCTGTGTAAAGTTCCATCAAAGTCCAGAGCAGAGTCCTGAGCCGTTTCATGTTCTTCTCTGCTTTCCTTTCCTGTCTGCTTCCCTTTATTTTAAACATCTGCCTGTTTCTTTGTTGTCTGTTTAGCCAATAAAGCATTATGGCCAAACATCACTAAGAGTGGACCGGACCGGAGGACCTGCAATACAGAACTGGTACTGTGTCTGCAGAAATACTGATTACTCGGCTGCATAAAAACCTCTCTGCCAACTGGTCCTGGTTAAGGTCAGTCAGAATCACCAGGAGGATTCTGCAGCTGAGCACTACCCACCCTTAGATCTGGTTAGTAACTAGTAACACCGGTTCTATGAGCAGGAATGGGCTAAAAAGAAGACCTAGATTATTGGAGCCAAGTGGTTCCTGATGGGGATTAAACTGAGAACCAACAAACAGAACTAATGGGGTTAAGTGACCAGAACCAGGACCAGTTGGCTCCGATTGTCCTCTCGTTCGCCGCTCTGCGACATCAGCTGTTTTGCCGTTCTGTAAGATCTGCTTTCTGTGCTCCACCCTGCAGCTCCCCTCTGGGTACGGCACCTACCCCAGTGCGGCCCACCAGGCGGCTGGCAGTCACTGCGCCACCAGCTCGCTGCCCCGTTCTGCCCCCGGTACCCTGGGCTGGCCTCGCTCCACCGCTGCCTCTTCTTCATCTTGTGTTTCCCAGCAGAGTGTTTCTGTTCCTCTGAACACAGGTAGGACCCACAGAGAAGAACACTGGAACCAATCTAATTGTCTCTTTTCTACGGTAAGATGTCCTCCCTCTGCTTTAGCTTCAAACTGAATGCCAGTGTTTTTCCATGACTCATTTTTGGCTTCAGGACATTCTGGATTATTTTTGTATTTTTTCTTTATTTTCTTCCGGTTTTATCATCACTAATCAGTTAATCAGCTGCCTATTGTTTGCATCTTCACTTTGTTGTCACGTATTTCTGGATTCTTTGTTTTGGTCCATGTCCCTGCTGGCTGTTATTATTTTCATTTAAATTGACAAACTAGCCATGCCATTTCTATCATGTAAAGCATGATAGAAATGACTCCCTGGCTCTGAATTTGTCACACAATTCAGTAAAAAGACAGTTCAAGGTTCAGTAAGTGAAGAGGGACCTTGGACAGAACCAGTCCTCACAGCAGCAGGAGGAGGAGCCTGAAAGGACATGTTGGACACAGACTTTAACCAGCCATGATTTATTTAAGGTCAAATAAAATCTTTAACCTTCATTTAAAGCAATAATGGGGGACAGTGGAGATTAGGATGTAACATCCATGCCACCGTGCCTTCATGTCTACTTGTTTCTCTGTCTCTCTGTCTTCATGTCTCTCTATCTTCATGTCCTCACGTCTTAGACTGAACCAAAGTGATGATCCCATGTGATCCAAACATATGGTTTCAGTTTCTATCAGGACTTTAAAATGTTTAAATGAGGTTTTGACATATTTACGCCTCTCTGTGTGGGAGGTTCTACCTCAGGTTCTGCCTCGGGTTCTTCCTCAGGTTCTGTCTAAGGTTCTACCTCAGGTTCTTCCTCAGGTTCTGTCTAAGGTTCTACCTCAGGCTCTTCCTCAGATTCTACCTCATGTTCTGCCTCATGTTCTGCCTCATGTTCTGCCTCAGGTTCTACCTCATGTTATGCCTTATGTTCTGCCTCAGGTTCTACCTCATGTTCTGCCTTATGTTCTGCCTCAGGTTCTACCTCATGTTCTGCCTTATGTTCTGCCTCAGGTTCTACCTCATGTTCTGCCTTATGTTCTGCCTCAGGTTCTACCCCATGTTCTGCCTCATGTTCTGCCTCAGGTTCTACCTCATGTTCTGCCTTATGTTCTGCCTCAGGTTCTACCTCATGTTCTGCCTTATGTTCTGCCTCAGGTTCTACCCCATGTTCTGCCTCATGTTTTGCCTCAGGTTCTACCTCATGTTCTGCCTTATGTTTTGCCTCAGGGTCTACCTCATGTTCTGCCTTATGTTCTGCCTCAGGTTCTACCTCATGTTCTGCCTTATGTTCTGCCTCAGGTTCTACCCCATGTTCTGCCTCATGTTTTGCTTCAGGTTCTACCTCATGTTCTGCCTTATGTTCTGCCTCAGGGTCTACCTCCTCCTCCCAGCTGGCTCCAGTCTCCCTTCCAACAGAGCGCACAGACCCACCTCCTGCAGTGGCAGTGGTAGTCCGTCCTTATGTTCCAGACCATCCGTCCAGACCTCAGTCCCCCAGAAAGGGGCCCGCCACCATGAACAGTAGCTCCATCTACAGCATGTATCTCCAGCAGCCCCAGACCAAGAACTATGGGTCTTTGAGCAACCGAACGACCGTCAAAGCAGGTAGTGCTTACCCTAACCTTCATCCTTTGCCTTCTGACACTGGAAATCAGACCATCTCTCGTTTGTCTCTACAGTCTACGGCAAACCCATCCTCCCCTCAAGCTCCTCATCTCCATCCCCCATCCCCTTCCTACAGGGAGGAGGAGCGAAGGCTGCTGGAGATGAAGTCAAGGAAAAACAAGGAGCAGGAGACTCCAATGATGGACAGGTCCTTCCTCCACCCAGCGTGGAAAACATCCCACGACCCCTCAGTCCGACCAAGCTCACACCAGTGGGTGGGTTCACTGACCACCGACAGCCTCATTACATACTGAAAAGCCCAGGCGACGGGCTGAGCTGTAAAGCCAAGGCTACGGTCTGAGCTGTAGAGCCCAGGCTACGGTCTGAGCTGTAGAGCCCAGGCTACAGGCTGAGCTGTAGAGCCCAGGCTACGGTCTGAGCTGTAGAGCCCAGGCTACGGGCTGAGCTGTAGAGCCCAGGCTACGGTCTGAGCTGTAGAGCCCAGGCTACGGTCTGAGCTGTAGAGCCCAGGCTACAGGCTGAGCTGTAGAGCCCAGGCTACGGTCTGAGCTGTAGAGCCAAGGCTACGGTCTGAGCTGTAGAGCCAAGGCTACGGTCTGAGCTGTAGAGCCCAGGCTACGGGCTGAGCTGTAGAGCCCAGGCTACGGGCTGAGCTGTAGAGCCCAGGCTACGGTCTGAGCTGTAGAGCCCAGGCTACGGTCTGAGCTGTAGAGCCCAGGCTACGGTCTGAGCTGTAGAGCCCAGGCTACAGGCTGAGCTGTAGAGCCCAGGCTACGGTCTGAGCTGTAGAGCCCAGGCTACGGTCTGAGCTGTAGAGCCAAGGCTACGGTCTGAGCTGTAGAGCCAAGGCTACGGTCTGAGCTGTAGAGCCAAGGCTACGGTCTGAGCTGTAGAGCCAAGGCTACGGTCTGAGCTGTAGAGCCCAGGCTACGGCCTGAGCTGTAGAGCCAAGGCTACGGCCTGAGCTGTAGAGCCAAGGCTACGGCCTGAGCTGTAGAGCCAAGGCTACGGCCTGAGCTGTAGAGCCCAGGCTACGGCCTGAGCTGTAGAGCCCAGGCTACGGCCTGAGCTGTAGAGCCCAGGCTACGGCCTGAGCTGTAGAGCCAAGGCTACGGTCTGAGCTGTAGAGCCCAGGCTACGGTCTGAGCTGTAGAGCCCAGGCTACGGTCTGAGCTGTAGAGCCAAGGCTACGGTCTGAGCTGTAGAGCCCAGGCTACGGTCTGAGCTGTAGAGCCCAGGCTACAGTCTGAGCTTTAGAGCCAAGGCTACGGTCTGAGCTTTAGAGCCCAGGCTACGGTCTGAGCTGTAGAGCCCAGGCTACGGTCCGAGCTGTAGAGCCCAGGCTACGGTCTGAGCTGTAGAGCCCAGGCTACGGTCTGAGCTGTAGAGCCCAGGCTACGGTCTGAGCTGTAGAGCCCAGGCTACAGTCTGAGCTGTAGAGCCAAGGCTACGGTCTGAGCTTTAGAGCCCAGGCTACGGTCTGAGCTGTAGAGCCCAGGGTAGAGTGAATAGAGCTCCCTAACTCCAATCCCATGCTTTGCTAACATCTATGGCAATGCTAGCAGGAGCTCTCTGAAATGTTTGCTATTATCATGGATGGAGTTTTCAGTGCTCAATGACTGGCTCCGCCCATTTCATCAGACATAAATCGATTCTACTGCGTATGGTTGCTGCACTGACTGCCTGTTTTCTGGCTGTAGAACACAGGCAGACAGAACAATCAAGTTGGATCAGAACAGTTCTGGTTGGCTCAGATGTAGATGAGATCCAAGAGGTTAAACAGAACCCTTAGGTTCTCCAGAACCATCCAGAGCTGGAATCTTCTAGGAGCATGTCCCTCTGCTTTCTGGTTGTTCAGAGATCTGGGGGCGGGAGCAGCGTTCTGCTTGTTTCTGTTGCCGGCCGGATTTTTTATCAGTAAACATATCAAAGTGAATCAGTGCAGCCAACATCTCGGTCTCTACAGCCCACTGTCAGCTACGATACCAGAACGATGCTGACCTGGAGGTTTTGCGACGCCGTTTCAGCAACGCCCCGCGGCCCCTGAAGAAACGCAGCTCCATCACAGAGCCTGAGGGCCCTCAGGGACCCAACATCCAGAAGCTGCTGTACCAGCGGTGGGTCACGGTTCTTCAGGAACACAAACATCTCATGTCATGGCGAGATGGGCTAACCAAGGCCTTCTATGCAGGTTCAACACCCTGGCAGGAGGCATGGAGGGGGGCTCAGGTAAGGCATGTCCACAGGATGTCCACTGGAGTCAGAACCTTCGGGTCAGTTGTCCCTCCTCTGCTTCAGGGAATCCTTTCTACCAGCCAGACTGCATTCTGGGAGACATGGACAGCATCAATTCAGCCAGTGGGCGCGTCAGCGAAGCAGCTGAGGAGGTCGAAGATCAAACTCTGAGCTCAGGCACCAGCCACTCCCCTCCACTTTCAGTTACCATAGAAACACCGACAGTATTAGAGAAAACTAACCAGGCAGCCCAACCCAGCTCACCTCCTGGACCCGACAGGCTTGCGGACCAGAGAGTCCCCGGCTCCGCCCACAGCACAAAAGGCCACGCCCCCTCCTCTCAGTCACCTCCTGCTCTGCCTTCAGCTCCAAAGGTCTGCAGATTGAAGCCCTCCCATTCTCCCCCAGATGGACGTTCTTGTTGTCCATCATGATTTGTTTGTTCTGCAGGTAATTGTGAAAAGAACTAACCTGAAGAAGCCATCGTCTGAGCGAACCGGACACGGTCTTAGAGTCAAGTTCAACCCTCTGGCCCTTCTGCTGGACGCCTCACTGGAGGGAGAGTTCGACCTGGTGCAGAGGATCATCTACGAGGTGAGGTTCTACTGGTGGAGCAGGTCTCTGTGGTCCATGGTTCTCCAGATGTCCTGCTGCAGACAGTCAAAGGTTCAGAAAATGACTATCTTTTAGGTGGAGAACCCCAGCATGCCCAACGATGAAGGCATCACTCCTCTTCATAACGCTGTGTGCGCCGGTCATCACCACATTGTGAAGTTCCTGCTGGACTTTGGGGTGAATGTCAATGCTGCGGACAGCGATGGATGGTCAGTACCTTCAGTCTTCGCCACCTGACCGCAGCCTGGTCCTATTTGAAGTTCTTCTGTTCCTCTTCCAGGACCCCTCTTCACTGCGCCGCTTCTTGCAACAGCGTCCACCTCTGCAAGATGCTGGTAGAGTCTGGGGCAGCCATTTTTGCTACAACCATCAGCGATGTGGAAACGGCGGCTGACAAATGTGAGGAGATGGAGGAGGGCTACAGCCAGTGCTCCCAGTTCCTTTATGGTGGGTGGTCCACAGACCCGCCCTGTTCAGAGGTTCCTTTTTAGCAGACTAACCTTCTCTGGACGCTGTTCTCCATCTGCTCTAGGGGTCCAGGAGAAGCTGGGGGTGATGAACAAAGGCTTGGTGTACACGCTGTGGGCCTACACGGCTCAGCGGGACGACGAGCTCACCTTCGGCGAGGGCAACGCCATCACCGTGTTGCGTCGCCATGACGACACAGAGACAGAGTGGTGGTGGGCGCGGCTGAATGACCAGGAAGGATACGTGCCCAGAAACCTGCTGGGGGTGAGAGAACATCACACACCTGTCCATGTCCTCTGATAGGAAGACCCAAGATGTCAAAGGTCAAAAGATCCACAGGCTGATCAGTAGTCATTTGGACCTTTGAGTTCTCAGATCAGAACCTTCTGGTTTCCACATATGGACCAGGCAGCAGGAACACTACCGTTAGCCATGAGAAATGCCTTTATTTAATTATATTCAGTTGACTCATCTGTAAAAGTTTATAGATGTTAACATTTTGTTTACATGATCAAAGGTGAGGGGTTTTTAAATATAATATCCTCAAGAGTTGAAACCCCTGAGTCAGATAAAAAGCAGGACCCCTGTGGGGCCTCCATTATCAGAGCAATATATCATATCAGTCAGGCACTGAGGAGACGCCTAAATCCAGAAGAAAAACTGCTGCATTAATGTGTTTATGTATCTAATTTTTGTGTAATCTGACAGTTAATCATTTAATGTGTAACATCTGAAAACTAAAATCTTTAGTCCCGTTTAAAAACACTGAAACTGGAGCCTGTTGATTGAGTTCTGCTTTATGTTCTGTTTCCATTTTAAACGAAACGGTCAGATTAATAATTCTGGGGAAAATCCTCCATGTTTAAGGTTCTGCTCTGTAAAGCTCGCATGGCTAACAGAAATGAAAAATAAAAACAAAACATTCTGGACAGAGGAAGGAACAGCACTAAGAAATTCTCGGACTCTCTGTGGGAGGAGGTTTCTCCTTTCAGGCTGCAGCAGAACGTGTTCTGCATTTGTGGAAGAGGTTGGAGAGGATGGTGTTAAGGAAGAAATTTCTAAAAAGTTAACTTTGGAAAAAGTTTGACTCTCTCTCTTCCTCTGGATTCCAGGTCCTCTCGGCGGCCACGTGTAGCCACAAGGAAACCAACATTGCGTGTTGACGTCACAGAATTACAGAGTTTAATCCAATATAAGACAATGCATAAACTTAGAAGTAAGACAATGCACAAACTTACACCAGAAACTGCAGAACAACGGAGACATACATTCATTTACCTGACATAAATGGAGAGAAGGAAAGAAAGCAAAGACGTACAAAGACATCTTTGGAGAGTTGCAAGAGCAAATCTGATTTGTTACTTCTGTGTAGAAAGTTTTATCCTCTTGTATTTAATTTATTCAAATAAGGCGTACCTTTGCTCCTCCAACCAGGAGCTATCTCTGACCCCCTATCTGAAGCCTAAAACCCCTGCAGTGTTTACGGCCTCGCACAGATGAGTGTGGAAAGCCAGAACTTCCACTGTATTGTTTTACGACACAGACAAAAGGCAGTTTAAACGATCCTAGCAAACCATCGGCTGCAGCCACAGGCAAAACAAAGGTCAACAGGCCAGAATAAGTCACTGATTTAAAACCACAATTTAGGCCATTCGAATCAAGACATGTTAAGTTTTAAAACTAGCTTATTTAAAATGTATTTTCTCAACAATGGTCTGCCTGGAGAACAGTTAACCCGAAGAGTGAGCATATTGAAGCTTTCCACCCTTACCGAGGAGAAACTCTGACACGCAATGATATGTACATCAGTGAACATCTGACCAAGAGGGACGCTAACATCACCAGGATGTGGCTAAAACCCTCTGTCACCACTGGCCTCTGAGAACGAGAACATGAACTAGAGCATCAGCAAGTCAGTGATCTGGCCCCAAAAGCTGGGACTGAGCTGTATATAAAGAAGCAAGACCTCCTTTATATAATGCACATAATGCAGCCGCCGCCATCCAGCAAAACAAGCTGGTGCCACAGAACCTGAGAACATTTCTTTACCTTAACACCCTGCAAGAAATTAAAACCTTGATGTTAGTTTGCTGGCGGTGCAGCTCCCATCAGAGTCGGGTGGACAGTCTCCTCGCTCCGGCTGCTTCTCTACGTTGTCGTGGTTGCGGTACCAGTGTTCTTCTTCATTGATAGTGATTTTCCAAAAAAATCCGAAATGTGCCATATTTCCTCCTCGTTCTGTCATTAGACTATGTAAATTTACTGGTCTGCTGCGGTGAGCCTCTTTACTCAGTGACCACGAGCTTGTTTAACGTTGCCATGACAACGTAATTTTTTTTAACTTGTATTTATCAGGCCTCGAAATTATTTAATTAAAATACAAATAATCGAAATAGTAAAATTCCAAATAATTTAATAACAATCAACTGGACTTTGTCTCCAAAGTTGAAGACATTTTTCTTCCATCCAGGAAGCTTTTTCAATTCCAAATGTCAGAAATAGCGTTGAGTTTTATACAGTAGCTCAACAAAGCCTTGATTTTGTTTTGCAAATTGTTTTGTTGACTAGGCAGAGAATCCTACCTAGTCTGGAAAAATAGTTTACTGCTGTATAAGAGGACCCTTTGTAAAACAAGAGCAGCATATTTCTCCTCATTAATAGAGGAGAATAAGAATAATCCTAGATTTCTTTTTAATCCAGTTGCCAAACTCACCCAGAGCCATAGCTCTGTTGAACCGTCCATTCCACCTGCTCTTAGCAGCAATGATTTTATGGGATTCTGTATAAATAAGATTGATCTTATTAAAAATAAGATCATAAGCACTCCTCTATCTGGTCAGCCTGCTGGTCATGTCTGCTTCTGTCTCCTTGAACCCCAGTCGGCCTCAGTCTGGTCCGGTTGGGTCCATCCGGTCGGGTCCAGCTGGCCGGTCTGGACGGGGCCGCTTGGGTCCATCCGGTCGGGTCCTATTGGTGGGGTCTGGTCAGGTCCAGTTGGGCGGTCTGGTCAGGTACTGTTGGGTCCATCCGGTCGGGTCCAGCTGGCCGGTCTGGTCGGGGCCGCTTGGGTCCATCCGGTCGGGTCCTATTGGTGGGGTCTGGTCAGGTCCAGTTGGGCGGTCTGGTCAGGTACTGTTGGGTCCATTCGTTTGAGTCCAGTTAGCTGGTCCAGTCAGGGCCGTCTGGTTCGGTCTGTCCGGTCGGGTCCAGCCGGCTGGTCCGGTTGGGTCCGTCTGGTTGGTCAGGTCCGGCTGGGTCCATCCGGTTGGGTCCGTCTGGTTGGTCAGGTCCGGCTAGGTCCATCCGGTTGGGTCCTGTTGGTGGGATCCAGCTGGCCAATCCGGTTGAGTCCGTCTGGTTCGGTCTGGTTGGTCGGGTCCAGCTGGCCGGTCTGGTCGGGTCCGGTTGGGTCCATCCATTGGGGTCCAGCTGGCCGGTCCGGTTGGGTCCGGTTGGGTCCATCCATTGGGGTCCAGCTGGCCGGTCCGGTTGGGTCCGTCCATTGGGGTCCAGCTGGCCGGTCCGGTTGGGTCCGTCCATTGGGGTCCAGCTGGCCGGTCCGGTTGGGTCCTGTTGGTGGGATCCAGCTGGCCAATCCGGTTGAGTCTGTCTGGTTCGGTCTGGTTGGTCGGGTCCAGCTGGCCGGTCTGGTCGGGTCCGGTTGGGTCCATCCATTGGGGTCCAGCTGGCCGGTCCGGTTGGGTCCGTTTGGTTCGGTCTGGTGAGTCGGGTCCAGCTGGCTGGTCTGGTCGGGTCCGGTTTGGGTCTATCTGGTTCGGTCCACTCTTGCATCATGTAATGCGGTTCTGGGTGTCTCTGCAGCTGTATCCCAGGATCAAACCCAGGCAGAGGTCCTTGGCATGAAGGCCTGATCCAGGAGGAAGAGGAGGAGGAAGAGGATGCAGTCAGCAGAGGAAGAGGAGGATGGACCTTCACCGTCACAGGTGGCAGCAGACTGGATCAGAGAAGGTGATGGGACCGACCCGGAAGGACTTGTGTGACAGGCTGCTGGAAGACGACAAAGGAAGGAAACCAGTATGTGAAGAAAACTATGTTAATGTTCCGGTTCTGGTCCAAAAGTCAGAATATGGTGGTACCAGAACCCAGTCCATCTGCCGGGTGGTTCTGATGCTTTATTCTCTTATTGTGTAGCTTTATTCTAACTGTTTAGTCACTTCCTGTATTTCCACTGTAGGAACCTTCCACGCCTCGATGCTGCCATCTGGTGGATGGTTCTAGTTTGTTTCATCTCTTTCTCTGCATGCTGACAGCTAATGTAGAAATATAATAAAAGAATGACCCCAACAGGAAGTAGAGATGTGGAGTCTGTTTCAGCAGGTGGTTCTGATCACATGTTCTGCCTGAAGAAAAATCTGCTGGGATTTTCCCTGCAGACCAAACACGAGGTCTGGATTATTTTTAATTTAACCCTGAAGTCGCTTTGAGATTCACAATCTCTTTTACAAGATACATCTGGCCGCGGTAATTTCTGCAAAAGCATACAGAATAAACATCAAATTATATTTTCATGGTAAAAGAATATATATATATATATATATATATATATATATATATATATATATATATATATATATATATATATATATATATATATATAATCAGATTTTAAGAAGAACTAGAGTAGATCTCCTTATCGCAGCATTCTCTGCAGGAGTTTTAAATTCATTAATCAGGGTTTTTTGCTCTTTCTGTTGTTTCTTTCATCCCCAAAATGCTAAATAAAAAAATTAGTTTTTACCAGTTTGGTTGAAACTTGAGGCTCATTTTAAAGAACCATTAGAGGACGGTTAGGAAACGGTAGAAGAGCAACCAGAGAGGAGGTCCCAGAGCTGCAGGGGAGGTTTGCCAAGTAAAGGTTCAGAGATAAAGATATAGAAGTCCAACCAGCTAGATCAGCATGTAGCATACCAACTATATCCCCATAATCTATGATTATGGAAGAAAAGCAGCTTCCACAAGTTTCTTCTGAGCTCCAACAGTAAATCAAAATTTGTTCCTGAAATAAAAGTCATGATTGACTTGAAGTTTCTGGACTAAAGCAGAAATGTGTTTATTAAAGGAGAACTGATTGTTTATCTAATGACAACGACCTGGACTACAGAGAGGAGGTGGAGCAGCTGGTGGAGCAGAGAGAACAGCCTGATCCTGAAGGTGGAGAAGACCAAGGAGATCATGGTGGACTTCAGGAAGAAGCGGCCTAACCACGCTCCACTGCTCATCAACAGCTCAGCTGTAGAGGTGGTCAGCAGCACCACATTCATCACAGACACCCTCACCTGGACTGGAAACACCACCTCACTGGTCCAAAGGGCCCAGAAGCGCTTGGACTTCCTGCCCCCCCATCCTCCCCCCCATAGAGAGTGTTCTGAGCAGCTGTCTCACTGTGTGGTGTGGAGGCTGCAGCGCCTCAGACTGGAAGAAGGTGAGAACAGCAGAGAGGATCATGGGGGCTCCTCTTCCCTCCATTAAAGACATTTCATCCCAGCGCTGCGTGTCCCGTGACATCATCAATGACCCCTCCCCCCCCACCATGGACTGTTCTCCCTGCTGCCCTCTGGGAAGAGGCTTCCCAGCATTCAATGCAGGACCAGCAGGTTCTGCAGCAGCTTCTTCCCCCCCGCCATCACACTGATCAACTGTTGTGTAAAATAGGTTATTTTATTTTTATATATATATATATATATATATATATATATATATATATATATATATATATATATATATATATATATATATATATATATACATTTTTAGAACTGTAAATATACACCCATTTGTTTATATTACTATTTTTTCTTTTTTTGATGTTTTTATTATTGTTTTTTAAGGCTGCGCTTTAAGAAATTTAACTGTCTAGAGCTGTTTTAAACAAAACACTCATGTATACAAAATGTCAAAGTAATATGTCTAAGTCTAAGTTATCTATTTATCTATATCTATTATTCCCACAGAGAAGATGCTCTCAGCTGATTTCCCATCAAAGGACAGGAGACCCTAATTGTTAATTATCTGTGTTCAGCCGTTTGAGAAGACCATAAACTTTCCTTCCTATGTATTTAAAGCCCGTTTTAGACCCAGTAGCGTGTTTTAGATGAAGTGAAGTGGGAAGTTCCTGCTGGAAGCCTGGGTGCAAACCACTGCATCATCAGCATAAAAATGAAACCTGGCTCAACATCTCCATCCAATTCATTTAGGAAGATGGAAAACAGACTGGGTCCTAATGTTGAGTGACTCCTTTGGTTATCTCAAGAAAAACCTTCAGCATCAACACGGTACGATCTACGAGATCCTTCTGGAAGCAGGCAGCAGCCGTCTGACCTGAGTTTGGTCCATAACCATCCATGATCATCTTATCAAACACCTTCCAAACTGATAATGTTTCCTATCTAAGGTCAAACGATATCTTCAGCGGAGCTTTGATGGGGCTACGAAAGTAGTTAGAACTTTAGCTGAAATTTTCAGCTAAAGTTCTAACTACTTTCTAAATGGATTCCAAAAATGAACATTGAGTTTAGATCTGGATGTTCTATTCGGTTCTGATGGCTCTCCAACTGTGTGGAGGACATGGACAGCTTTAGAGCTTTTGGGGATGGAACTGAACTGAAGACTTCAACTGGAAGATGTGGATTATCTGGACCTGCAGATATTTATTGCTTTGTGTCTGTCTGAAATTATTCCATTTCTCAGCAGCTCGGTGCCAAGCTGTGACATCGTCGACCTTTGAATCTGTCCTTCAGAGGACGCAGCGCCTGGATTGGAACTCAGGGACCGAGGGGACAGAGGGACAAAGGGTGGAGGGACGGAGGGACAGGGGGACAAAGGGACAGAGGAATGGAGGGACAAAGGGAAGGAGGGACAGAGGAATGGAGGGACAGAGGGAAGGAGGGACGGAGGGACAGAGCGAGGGTCCACTTATGGAAAAAACCATGTGAATGTGAAACACAGCAGGAATCCATGTTGTAGATGAACTGGTCTTAAAGCGTCTAGAGTAGTTTTCCTTCTTAACAGACGGATAACGGCTGCTGCTGCACTGCGTCACACTTTCAACATAAGAAACGTTCGACTTTAGATGCAAAACCCCATCATCAACGCAACATTTTTTTGCAAAATATTCAAACACAAATTCGTCAAATATAAGAGGAACATCGTAGTTTGGTTTAAAGAGAGCACTGCCTCTGCCACCGTCACCAGAGAGTCCAGCTTCATGCCGACCACGGAGCCGGCCCGCCTGATCAGTTTGTCCAGTCTGGACGTGTCCTTCTTGGATGTGCTGCCTCCCCAGCACACCACGGTGTAGAAGAGGACAATCACAGACTAGTAGAACATATATAGTTTGCTGCAGATGTTAAAGGACCACGGTCTCCTAAGGAAGTACATCCTACTGTGTACCTTCCCGTTCAGGTTGCTGGTGTGTTTTGACCAGATAAATAGATTCTGCAAGCATCGTTCAGGGAGTTAACATTGGATTACTGCTTATTTACTTTTCATAGGAGCACCATGGTCAGGGCCGCTATGACTTGAGGAGGGCCGGCCCTGGAAGCCTGAGGCGCCGACATCCTAAATTTCCACTGATTTTCTTTCTTTCTATGAAAACTGTTGATCTGGTTCTCAGGATCTGGAGCGGTTCTGTCCGGTTTGATCCAGAAATGATCCAAACTATGTTCTGACAGTTGAGAGAGGGAATAATGGTGACCAGATTTTATTCACTTTGATCTGTTATTGAGAGTGAATTAATTTAAAAAACTTTTATATAGAATCTGAATGAATAAAACATAATAATGTGGGACGGTCCATAACCTGTGGACTTTGGATGCTATAAAAGCTCCGCCTCTGGATTCACCTGGAGCAGCAGGTAAGTTCCGCTCCGATCCAGCTCACTCTGCAGGGACTGGTTCTATAGAACTATTGGCTCTGTTTCTAAAGCTCAATGATTCTAAAGCCTTAATTTATTTGAACCTTCAGATCAGATCCGGTCAGCGCCGGAACCTTCAAAATCAAACTAAACAGAATCTTTTTTCATACAGACTTCTCTTCATTTTGTTATTTTCTTATTTATCTCCATTAATCATGTTTAATACAGACTAACAGAGTAAACAATATGTTAATGAAACCACATTTTTGGTGCTTTTGTTTTGAAGAGTTAAACGGAAGTGCTAGCTTATTCAGCTATAGGCTCCGGCTTTAGCATACAGCTACTAACTGCTAAAGTATTCTTAGTAAATATTTAGTTTCTGTCTGTAGGCGTAGCTTTTAATGTTTTAATCATGATGATAAATCTTAAGTTTATTAATCTTTAGTTTATTGTGACGTTTAATTAAAGGTAAGTCTATTTTCTCTGTTTTCTTAAAGTCTGACCGAGTTTAGCTTCCATTAACCGTTAGCTAGTCACCTGGAAATGCTACCTGTACCTGTAGGATCATTATTTTAATAAACCCGTTAAGTGTTATTAAAGAATTGCTGCTTTAATCCATAGAAATGTTAGAAGGACGCCCCTCTCAAGATGGCGTATACGTCAAGTATTCCGCCATCTTGGAAGGGGAGATCTTATGCTGGTTAATGACAGGTTTCTCACAGCAAGAATAGCTCATAAAACATTTAAATAGTTTAGAGCTGAATGGATAATTTCAATGCATGAAATGATGTAAACAATGTTTATACAAAAGTCAATGAGAATATTGTTTCTATAAATGCTGAACCAGTAGATCAACAAACTAATAATGATCACATCTAGATAACGATTAGACCATTTCTGAAGCTGCATTTATGTGGCATCGTAATTATGGTAAATACCAAAACATGAAAATCCACTCATGTTGTAATTTCAACTGGAAAGCTGGAAGATCCGGTGATACCTGAGATGAGGTCCTGTATCACTGATTGGAGGTGTTTCAACATGGCGGAAAGCAGAGAAATGGTTCTGCTTTCTGTTTGTAGCTTAAACAATGCTGTGACACATATATATATATATATATATGTGTGTGTGTGTATTAAAAACATATCAACATTTTAACTTGTTGCTTTTGAAATGACCGTTGTTATAATTAGGAAAAAGCTTTCGACAGGGTTGATCCCTGTTTTCTGTTTTCTACACTGAGGGCTTTTGGTTTTGGTGATGGATTTATTTCTTTATTTATTGTATAATGAAGTTCCTATTTCTGGACAACTGGACTCTATTGGAATTGAACCCCTTTTACACAAACTGCGCTCTGCTTTAACTGGTGTTATTCTTCCAGGTATCCCAAATCATTCAGGTTTAGTGGTCTCTGCTTATGCTGATGATAGAAACATTTTTATTAGAAATCAGAAGAATGTAAACGGTCTGTAAAGGGCACAGTTTGGAGCTTTATGAAAAAGCCTCTTCAGCTAAAGTTAACTGGGATAAAAGCTGTGCATTAAAGGTTGGCCCATGGACTAATAATCTGCCCGTGTTACCAGGTAGTATTCATTGGGGCAATCAAGGTTTAACATTTTTGGGTGTTTTTTTAGGGACGGATCTTTTTTTGGAATAAAAATTGGGAGGGTGTCATGGAGAGAGTGTGCTGCCTCTGCTGCCTTACAGAGGAACTATAATTGTTTCTTTGTTCCAACTCTACTTTAGTCCTGATGATGAGCTTGACTAGAGGTGGAAACCTTCAGGAAGACATGAGTGCATCTGTGTTCAATGCAGAGAGCAGCTTTGCTATATTCGCTGTGATCAGTGGTAGGGTTCTAAGTCACGCCCATCATGGCGATTCGATTCAGTAGCAATTTCCTGACCCAACGATTTCATTATTTTCGATTCTCAAGAATACACCACGATACGATTCGATTAATTAGTTCATTTTTTTTTTTACCTCACAGGCTAGAAAATGTTTCAGATTTGAAATAAATCAATGAAAGCTGTAATATCGTTAATGGACTTTATTTGAGAAACTACAGCAAATAACAGAAGTAGAAAAGTTTTACTCCACCTATTCCTATTAAAACCTCATTCACTGAAAAATAATAACTCCCCTGCGTTATAGATCCTGAAAGGTCTTGCATTAATAAATACTGCAGAAAATCAGTGCAATGAGTTCAATGCAATACCTCAGCTCCAGACGCCCCCCCCCCCCCCCCCCCCCCCCCCCCACAGACGCTCCGCTGCTCCTCTCCCAGATTGTAGCTGACCGCAGACAGGAGGCCGGCTTGGTTTGTCTTTATGACCGAAATTGCTGAAAACAACTCGTGAAGTTTGACCCGCTAGAAGAGCGAGGTGCGCGGGAACGCTGGGACCCTTTTTCCACCTGGATCTCCGCTCTTTTTGGCCCTCATGTCCCTCCGTCGTCGGACTAAACTCGCCCCCACTTCCTCGCCGCCTCGGCCGTATCTAGACCCACAGCGTGTAGAACAGACCATGCTTCAATATTAAGCATAAATCAAAAAAGTCTGCGTCAAGCTCACTGCAACACACTGCTGTAAGAGTATAACCAGGAAGAGAGGTAGGAGGGCAAAATAGGTTTAGCGCCACCGCAGCACGGGAGGAGAATTACGCCCAGGAGCAAATGGATAAAAATAGACCGGAGGAAAGAAAAACATGAATCGATTCTCTTGCGGACGTATCGATGCATCGGATCGTCGGCTGTTGGATCAATACATCAATACAAAATTGTTATTTACACCCCTAATCAGCGGGTAGAAAGTAGTTAGAATCTATGTTGAAGTGAGAAAGTCCTCCTGAAAACATGGTCTGTGCAGTCAGTTCATCCAGATTACCATCCTGCCTTCAAAGATTATTTCTCTGTGGGAGCCGCTCAGACCCCCACATACCGGCGCTGCGCTGTCACTGGGAATCCCCAGCAGCAGCTGCCTCAGGCCCGCTCGCCTCTCCAGGGTTTTCCCCTCCTGTTGGTGGCGGCTGGAAGTAGATGTTAGCGTTTTTCAGGTCTGTGCTACAAACTGCAGGCAGCAGGATAATAAAAGCCAACATATTCTGCCGGCAGGTTTCTACATTTGAAGTTAATTTAGGCGTTAATAAACTGTTTCAGAGGAGTGATCATAGCGCTCTGCATCAGCAGTGCTGCGTCTGACTCCCTGCCAGCTCCCAGATCAGCTTCTCTGATTGGTTGATGTGGCGCATCCAGCAGCTGCTGCGTTTGCAGCATGTCGCGTGTGTCGGATGCTCAGGAGCTCACGACACGATGTAAACCAGCTGCTTCTGCTGCTTTAGGTGTGAACGTAGCATTAGAGCCCGTGTTGCCAGACGAGGCTGATGTAGTCCTCTGTGCTCCCAGGTAGACCTCCTGGACCATGTCTCAGCATTTCCACCTGAACACTCCTCTGCTGGAGAGCGTCAGCATGTCGAAGCGGGTGGGGACCACCGTCTATTTGAAGATGGAGAACTGCCAGCCCTCTGGATCCTTCAAGATCAGGGGGATAGGACACCTGTGCCAGCAGGTGGGGCTGCTGAACATCTGTCCTGGACCTCCTCCCCCATGTAAGATGTTTACTGACTGATGTGTTCTCTCAGCTTGCAGGACAGAGCAGAGGAATCGTTTGTTCTTCAGGTAACATCTGGATCAGGAACCAGCCTGGGGTTGTCCTGCTCTGGTACTGATGGGCTGTTTTCTCCAGGAGGGAATGCTGGTATGGCTGCAGCCTATGTGGCCAGAAGAATGGGGCTTCCAGCCACTGTGGTGGTTCCCTCCTCCACCCCTCAGCTGGTGGTCCAGAGGCTCCAGGACCAAGGAGCTGCTGTCAGGATTGTAGGGAAGGTAAGACCTGCTTTTCTTAGAAGGCAGCTAGACCCCCTCTACCGCCATACTGCACAGCCTCAGGCTCCGTCCTCTGCAGAGAAGTTCCAAGGAGCATGCTGAGAGCATCCTAAAGCCAGAGAGGAACCCTGCCTGACTCATAGCCTGGCCAGAAGTTCTCCTCCTCAGTTTCCAGCTTCCATCAATGCTGGTCCCCATCAACCAGGACAACCAAGAAAGACCTCCAGGCAACAGCAGCTGCTGCTGGAAGCTACATATCCTGTAAAATGCTGAACCTGGACGCTTTGTTCTCAGCCTCCCTCTGAAGATCAGAATGTCTGTCAGATACTCCTGTCGCTCCTGATAATCCTTCGTTTGGCTTTTTTCCTTGGCTCTACTTCATTCAGAATAGTCAGGATATCATCCTGAGCTATCTCTATAGTTCTGCTGCTATAGGCTTAAACTGCTGGAGGACATAGGGACCCCTTTTTCATCATTCTGCTTCATTCTATCTCTATTCTCCCACTCTGCAGAATCTGTTAGTTCAATCTCTAACGTTCTGCTCTCTCTGCTTTTTCTCATAGTAGCTTCATCTGGTCTGTTCCTGTTTGGCTGTGACTCCATCCTGGAGAGAAATATCAGCTGTGCTGCTGCCATCAACACCTTTGTTTCTAGATGTTGGAGCTTGGCCTGTTTTCCAGTGTAGTCCTGTTTCTCTGACTGTGACTAACTGGATGTGCTCTCTTCATCCTCTGACATGGGAGCTGGCTCGGAGCTCGTCTGCCTGGCTGTGTGTTTCCTGGACGGGGCCGCCTGTGGAGCTGGTTGACAGTTGCCTTTTGTATCTATGCTTCTTTTTCTATGTCTGCTTCTGTCTCCTTGAACCCCAGTGGGCCTCAGCAGATGGCCGCTCACACTGAGCCTGGTTCTGCTGGAGGTTTCTTCCTGTTCAAAGGGAGTTTTTCCTCTCCACTGTCGCTACAAGCATGCTTAGTGTGAGGGATTGCTGAAGAGTCAATGAGTCGATGCAATCAGCTGGTTTTCCTTAGATAGAAAACTTTAAAATAATCTGACTGGATGATCTGGTTGATCTGGATCTATAAAGTGACCTGAACCGGTTCAGACTGGTTCCAGGTGATCAGACCAACAGACTACCCTGTGGTAGAAGGTGGTGTTTCATGTGGACCTTCTCCATCCACCACCTAGATGGGGTCAGGGAGGTACTGCCTCCTCCTGGTTGGAGTTGATGATGGAGCTCCGTAGGGTTGGATGATTCCAGCTGCTTGGAGGCCAAACAGAGAGAGATGTTTATGGATCAGACTTCTGGAGAAACTTTGCTGTTATTGTTGACCTCCAGGTCTGGGACGACGCTAATGCAGAAGCTCTGAGACTGGCAGAGACAGAAGGCCTGACCTTGGTTCCTCCGTTTGATCACCCTCTGCTGTGGTAGGAGCTCCTCTGTTCAGAGGATCATCATGTTTGCAGCCTGTGAGGAGCAGAACATCCCAGGATTTCTCTGAATCTTCCAGGCAGGGCCACGCCTCCTTGGTGGCCGAGGCTGCAGCCGCTCTGGGCCCCGACAGGAAGCCCGGCGCCATCCTGCTCTCCGTGGGAGGGGGGGGACTCCTCTGTGGCGTCGTCCACGGTCTGAGGGACGTTGGCTGGATGGATGTGCCCATCATCGCCATGGAAACAGTGGGAGCCGACTGTTTCAACACTGCAATAAAGGCGGGGAAGGTGGTGACGTTGGAGGACATCACCAGGTTGGTGCTTTAGGGTTTCTGAAGTTCCGGTCCAGAGGAGGTCGGGTTTCCTGCTCAAACAGAGAACACATGTTCTGGTTCCGGTTCTGATTCCTACCAGAAGGTTCTGCTAGAACAAACCAGAACCAAGTCTTCAGTGGGTTGATCCACCCGCCTTCATTGACCAGGAGGGACTCCCAGAGTTCTAGATGTAGAACAGAATAGAATTCAACTCTATTGTAATTAGAAAGCAACAAAATTCCCTCTCTGCATTTAACCCATCCCCTTAGAGAGCAATGGGGTGGCAGTCTGTGGCTCTGGATTCATAGCTCTATGCTCTAACCACTTGGCTGCCGCTCCTCCTGTTTTTCTAGACAAACGTTCAGGTTTTAGGAATCAGAGGAAATCCTCTGGAAAGCTTCCTCCTCAGGGAACTTCTGTAGTTCTGCAGAACCCCCCAGGACCCCCCCGAGTTCAGCAGCCTGCATAGCCGACTGGCAGTTTCAGGATAAACCAGGTCCTGATGGACGGTTGCTGATGAAGATCTGATCTCTGGTCAGATTCATGTGGATCAGATGAGGGGAAGGTTCTGATTGGCTGCAGATAAGGATTAAAATGCCCAACAATCAATCTTTTAATTCTGTTTTTCATTCATTGATTAGAAATAAATATTTAAGCAGCTTTGAAACCAGCTGAAGCGAAAGACACTAAGTGTTTGTATTTTATTTATTTAGCGTTTTTATCCAAAGTGACTTATAAAGCAGGCGTTAGCATGAAGCGGGGGTTCAGACCCAGGGCCTCCTCCACTAAAAGCTAGCCGCACTTTACATGAGAAACACTTAATATTTCAGGGTTTCTGAGTCTGAATGCTCCAGTAAGGGATTGATGATGATGTCATTCATGACTATCCTGACCGATGCGTCCGCAGTGAAGCCAAGTGTCTGGGAGCGAAGACGGTCTGCCAGGCGGCCTTCGACTTCAGCCAGAGCGGCGAGCTGAACATCATCTCAGACCTGGTGAGCGACCAGGAGGCGCTGAAGGCCGTCTGCACCTTCCTGGGTGGGTGACCTCCTCCTGCAGACGTCTGCCGTGCCCCCCCCCCCGCTCTGAAACACGCTCTGCTGCTTGTCTTGCAGATGAGGAGCGCGTTCTGGTGGAGATGGCATGTGGAGCAGCGTTGGCGGCCGTCTACAGTGGACTGATAGCCAGACTGCAGAACCAAGGCAGATAATCCTTCCTCCTGTTTGGATCAAACTGTTGGTCCTGAAGGGCCTGAATACTTTCTGCTCATTACAGCCATTATTTAATGAAACCTCTTCAGACGTTGATTCCTGCTGCAGGAAGGTGTAGATCTAGAGCAGCCGGAGCTTTGGCCACATCTGAGACTCTTGTCTGTGTTTCAGGTGGTCTGCCGACTCCCCTGGGCCCCCTGCTGGTGGTGGTGTGCGGCGGCAGCGGCATCAACATGGAGCAGCTGGACAGCCTGAGGCAGAAGCTGCTGAGCTGAACCAGTGGATACTGGGACCAGTTCAAAGCTGGAAACTAGAAGCTCTGAATGACGGTGTGATTTACTTTAGCTGGGAGTTTAATGGAGGCCGTGGAGACGCTTGATGATGATGATGTTGATGATGATGATGTTGATGATGATGATGATGATGATGATGATGATGATGATGATGATGATGAGATGGACCTGGCCAAACCTGAAATCTCTGCCTTGGATCAGAACCTTCTTCCTGCTTCATGTGATTAAGACCTGAATTAAAGCAAAGTAGAAATAAAGAATGAGAAGAGTCTGGGCTGGATGAGCTTCGCTGGTGAACTTTGACCCCTCAGGATCAGATGCTTCTGTAGCTGCACCGAGCATCGTCATCATCAGCACATGGACTCTGTAGAAGATGAAGATAGTTGAGAATCTGAGCTCAATTTCTCCTTCTGTGGATGTTTGAGTGTATCGCCATGGAAACAGTGTAGAAAATTGTGCTTAAGGGGCCGAATGTGTTTCTGTTGGGGCTGATAAACATGGAGGCTCAGAGCGAAGCTTAGAGCCGCAGCAGAATCAACAGAATCAACTAATCAACTTAATAAAGAAAATTAGACGTATCATCAAAAAATTTGTTCTTTATTATTTGTTTCTGTGCAGATCTGAAAACTTCTAGATTTATTAAAGATTCTATGACCTGGTTTTATTTCCACTCATCTTGCCATCATCGTCTGATGACCTCAAGGGACACAACGATCCTTCAGGTCCACGTTCACAGACCTACAGTCTCCACCTTTATTGGAGAGTCTTTATGAGACCGGCCGACTTTACCAGACTGCCTTCATTGGACCCAGAGTCTTCATCGCAACTTCTTTATCAGACCTTCTTTATCAGATCTTCTTCATCGAACCGTTTTCATCAGACCTTCATTTGACCATCCTCATCAGACCGTTTTTAGTAGACCGTTTTCATCGGACCCACAATCTTTAGCAGACCGTCTTCATCGGAACGCCTTTATTGGACCGCCTTTGTTGGACCTCCTTTATAGGACGGTCTTCGTTGGACTGTCTTCAATGGAACAACTTTACTGGACCGTCTTCATAGGATTGTCTTTATCGGACTGTCTTCATCTGACGATCTTTATCGGCCCATCTTCTTCGGACAGACTTTACTGGACCGTCTTCATTGGACCGTCTTTAGCGGACCGTGTTCATTGGACCACCTTTATCGGACCTTCCTCTTTGGACTGTCTTCATTGGAACGGCTTTACTGGACCGTCTTCATCTGACCTTCTTTATCGGACAGTCTTTACGGGACCGTCTTCATCGGACAGTCTTAGTCGGACCGTCTTCTTTGGACAGACTTTACTTGACTGTCTTCTTCGGACAGACTTTACTGGATCGTCTTCATTGGACCGTCTTTATCGGACCGTCTTCTTCGGACAGACTTTACTGGACCGTCTTCATCGGACCGTCCTTATCGGATCTTTTTCTTCGGACAGACTTTACTGGACCGTCTTCATCGGACTGTCTTCTTCGGACAGACTTTACTGGACCGTCTGCATTGGACCGTCTTCACCGGACCGTCTTCATCTGACCGTCTTCATCGGGCCGACTTTACTGGACCGTCTTCATCGGACCGTCTTCATTGGACCACCTTTATCGGTCAAGGGATGGTTTCTTAAGCAGAGGTTTAATTCCAGCAACCTTAAAAGCCTTTGGTACATATCCCTGTAACAGAGATAGATTAATCACATCTAAAATGGAGGAGGAGATCAAAGGGAATACCTCCTTAAATAACCAGGTTGGAACTGGATCTAACATCCAAGTTGAAGGCTTAGATGAAGACAATAATTATGCTAACTCAGAAAGTTCAACTGGATCAAAGCAGTCTAAACCCGGTTCAGATTCCATGACTACCTCAGATGCTGCCCCACCCTCCAGAGACAAACCAATCGCGGATAGAGGAGTGCTAATGATCTGATTTTTAATAAGATCAATCTTATTTATAAAGAATCCCATAAAATCATTCCTGCCAGGAGCAGGTGGATGTTGGGATCCTGAGGCTTGCCCACCAGTGGGCGCCGAGGATCCCTTCCTGGGGATTTTTCTGTTACTGTTTGGGATCTGGGGTTTGTTTTCTGTCTACGTTTCTCCACCAGAGGGCGTACTGGATCTCCTGAGGCTGGAGCTGACTTCACCAGCTGTTCTCCATCTGCTCATCAGGAGACCAGTATTTAAGTGGGCTGAGGACCACACTCCTGTGCCAGAGTGTTAGTTAGTCACGGTATAGCAAACCCTGAGCCAACCAGCCTGTCTGATTCTATTACTCCCCTGAAACCAGAACCTGAACTTAACCAGTTTTTGTCTTCTCCACTTCTTAGGAAGAAATCTGACTGAACCCTACCCTGGAGAACCAAGCCTCTGCCCTCAGCCTGACGTCCGCCTCTGAACCCTCCTGGTTCCCTCCTGCTACCAACTCAGCTCAAGCCTCAGCCTTCAGCCTGCCGTCTGTCTCTAACCCTCCTGGTTCCCCCCTTCGGCCTGCTCACGTAAAGCCTCAGCCTTCAGCCTGCCGTCTGCAACTGAACCCACATCTGGAGATCATCAAGCCTCAGCCAAGCCCAACCTCCTTCAAGCACTCAGTCTGTCGCCAACCTCTGGACCCTCCTTGGATTATTCCCCCTCGGCTGCTCTGCTCATCTCCAGGTCAGCAATCCAGCCGAGACCAGCCCTGGACCTGAATACATCCTGACCTGCTTTGTTCTACCATAAATAAAATACTGAACTTTTTCCCTGCCTCCTGAGTGTGTTCTGCATATGGGCTAGAATCTTCACCCATCATGACAGTGGAATGGACGGTTCAACAGAGCTATGGCTCTGGGTGAGTTTGGCAACTGTATTAAAAAGAAATCTAGGATTATTCTTATTCTCCTCTATTAATGAGGAGAAGTATGCTGCTCTTGCTTTACAAAGGGTCCTCTTATACAGCAGTAAACTATTTTTCCAGACTAGGAAGGACTCCCGCAGGCCTGTGGAGCGATATTTTCTCTCCAGTTTCCTAGCATTTTGCTTCAAAGTACGCAGCTCTGCATTAAACCAAGGAGCAAGCTTTCTATTTTTAATGGTTTTCATTTTCAAAGGAGCTGCGTTGTCTAAGGCAGTACGCAGAGAACTAGCAACCCCATCAACAAAATCATCAACCTGTGAAGGGGAATAAGCTAAGCTTTTGCACTCTGCAGCACTGCTTCATAAATCCAGAGCTATATCATCATCACAGACATCTCAGCCTCTCCCCATTTTAAGCTGCTTTTATACTCTCTTTATCGCACTCTGTAGATGCACGTGCATGACTGGATGTTCTGTCGAAATCTTACTGAAATGTGTGCTGGCCAAGGCCAGAGTTGGCTCTGACACTCAAACAGGAAAAAGATGTTTCCTGTTTTTGCCAATATCTCTTGGCTTATAACCTGAGTATGTGCAAATCAGCAATTAGGATTCTTGTTTTTGTTGAGATCCGTCCGTGACCTCCAGCATGTATTACTAATTATGGAAACAGAAGAGGCCTTTTTACTAAGCACCAAACAAGGCTATATACCAACAGTACAATTGCTTCTGCAAACTCAAACCTACTGAGCATCTTTGGAGGGAGCTGAAACAGCCGCCTGAGACTCCTGGATGAGGAGTGGAGCAGAGGTCTGACTGACAGAGCAGCTGTTCCCAAACTATTAGCAACCAACCAAAGCTCCCGTCGTCATGGCTCCCATTATAGATTGGCCCACCTAGAACTGGACTGGAATACAGTTAAAGCATCAGCAAAGGGATCATGAGGATTTTCAAGACTCAGATCAGTCAAGAGATCACATCTACCTCACATATAACTCACACCTACCTCACATCTACCTTACGTCTACCTCACACCTACCTCATATCTTCTTCACACCTATCTCACATCTACCTCACACCTACCTCACATCTACCTCACACTTACGTCACATCTACCTCACACCTACCTCACAGCTAACTCACACCTACCTCACATCTACCTCACATCTACCTCAGGTCTACCTCACACCTACCTCACAGCTAACTCACACCTACCTCACACCTACCTCACACCTACCTCAGGTCTACCTCACACCTACCTCACAGCTAACTCACACCTACCTCACACCTACCTCACATCTACCTCAGGTCTACCTCACACCTACCTCACAGCTAACTCACACCTACCTCACACCTACCTCACACCTACCTCAGGTCTACCTCACACCTACCTCACAGCTAACTCACACCTACCTCACACCTACCTCACATCTACCTCACACCTACCTCACACCTACCTCAGGTCTACCTCACACTTAACTCACATCTACCTCACATCTACCTCACACCTACCTCACACCTACCTCAGGTCTACCTCACACCTACCTCACACCTACCTCAGGTCTACCTCACACTTAACTCACATCTACCTCACATCTAACTCACTCCTACCGCAGGTCTACCTCACACCTACCTCGATCTACCTCACACCTACCTCACACCTACCTCAGGTCTACCTCACACTTAACTCACATCTACCTCACATCTAACTCACACCTACCGCAGGTCTACCTCACACCTACCTCACATCTACCTCACATCTACCTCACACCTACCTCACATCTACCTCACACTTACCTCACATCTACCTCACACCTACCTCAGGTCTACCTCACACCTACCTCACATCTACCTCACACCTACCTCAGGTCTACCTCACACCTACCTCACATCTACCTCACACCTACCTCAGGTCTACCTCACACCTACCTCACATCTACCTCACACCTACCTCAGGTCTACCTCACATCTACCTCACATCTAACTCACACCTACCGCAGGTCTACCTCACACCTACCTCACATCTACCTCACATCTACCTCACACCTACCTCAGGTCTACCTCACACCTACCTCACATCTACCTCACACCTACCTCAGGTCTACCTCACACCTACCTCACATCTACCTCACACCTACCTCAGGTCTACCTCACACCTACCTCACACTTACCTCACATCTACCTCACACCTACCTCAGGTCTACCTCACACCTACCTCACATCTACCTCACACCTACCTCACATCTACCTCACACCTACCTCACAGCTAACTCACACCTACCGCAGGTCTACCTCACATCTACCTCACATCTACCTCACACTTACCTCACATCTACCTCACACCTACCTCACATCTACCTCACACCTACCTCAGGTCTACCTCACACCTACCTCACATCTACCTCACAGCTAACTCACACCTACCGCAGGTCTACCTCACACCTACCTCACATCTACCTCACACCTACCTAAGGTCTACCTCACACATACCTCACATTTACCTCACATCTACCTCACACCTACCTCAGGTCTACCTCACACCTACCTCAGGTCTACCTCACACCTACCTCACACCTACCTCACATCTACCTCACACCTACCTCAGGTCTACCTCACACCTACCTCAGGTCTACCTCACACCTACCTCACACCTACCTCACATCTACCTCACACCTACCTCACAGCT